CCCGCACGCTGTTCCGACCATGGGGATGAGAAAGCGCTCGATAGGAAGCAAGGCCCTCCTCCTCCTCCTCCTCCTCCTCCTCCGCCTCCGCCTCCTCCTCCTCCTCCTCCTCCTCCTCCTCCTCCTCCTCTTCCTCCTCTCCCGGAGCGATTTCTGATGGCCCCGGGGCCCGAAAGCGGCCTCCATGCGCCGAAGACGACGAAAAAAAACTTCCAAATATCAAAATCCGCCGCGCTCCGCCATTGGGCCGCCATGCGAACTGCGCCACTGCGACCTTAGGTGGAGCTAGCTCCGTATGGCCCTATGGAGCCACGAAGCGTGTGAGGGTTGTGCCACTCTGGGGCGGGGCCGCCATGGGAGATGCGCTACTGAGACCTTAGGTGGAGCCCCCTTATGGGGCCACGAAGCGTGTGAGGGGTGTGCCAAAATGCGGCGGGGCCGCCATGCGAGCTGCGCCACTGGGACCATAGGTGGAGCTCCCTATGGGGCCGCGAAACGTGTGAGTGGTGTGCCAAAATGGGGCGATGCCACCATGCGAGCTGCACCACTGGGACCTTAGGTGGAGCTCTCTATGGGGCCGCGAAACGTGTGAGGGGTGTGCCAAAATGGGGCGATGCCACCATGCGAGCTGCACCACTGGGACCATAGGTGGACCCTGTGCGGCCGCGAAGCGTGTGAGGGGTATGCCAAAATGGGGCGAGGCCGCCATGCGAGCTGCGCCACTGGGACCTTAGGTGGAGCTCCCGTATGGGGCCACGAAGCGCGTGAGTGGTGTGCTAAAATGGGACGAGGCCGCCATGCGAGTTCCGCCAGTGGGACCTTAGGTGGAGCTCCTGTATGGGGCCACGAAACGCGTGAGTGGTGTGCCAAACTGGGACGAGGCCGCCATGCGAGTTCCGCCACTGGGACTTAGGTGGAGCTCCGTAAGGGGCCGCGAAGCGTGTGAGGGGTGTGCCGAAACAAAAACATGCGGAAAACAAAAGGAAAGACGAGGAGGAAGGAGAGGGGGCAGTGGGAGGAGGAGACGCGCGGCGCTGTCTTTTCAAAACAAAGACCCATCACCACAGGATGGTTGGGACAAAACATACTAAGGAATCCCCCGTCGTAAGGAGCTCTTAATCAAGAACCCCAAGTAAAGAATCCTGGATCTGTGACAATCCTGAGCAAAAAGTGTTGCGTACGGGTTCGTGAGGAATCCTTCGTGCGTGTTCTTTTGTCGAGAATCCTCCGCGGGGAATCCTTTTGCAAGGCGTCCGTAGCAAAGTTCCTGAATCAGGAATCCTGCGCCGGGGCCTCTTTCATATGGACTCATTAGGTTGGTCCTTTTCAGTAGGGAGTCGAGAGTCCTTATTCGCAGGGGGATTCTTCGCAAGGCGTTCTTAATAGTGAGTCTTGATCAAGAATTCCTTGATCAGGAATCCGCGTGCGGAAATCCATGGTCATGGGTCTGTATCAAGGAACCCGTCGTACAGGATCATTGTTATTGAATCCTTCATAGGGATCGCTTAGAGAGGAACCCTCAGTAAGGAGGCCTCCGTAGGAAATCTTTACTGGGAATTCCTTTTTGAGGAATCAGTAATTCGAAATAAGGAACCTTCAGTCCAGCTGTAGTTGGATCCGAGTAGAGCTGGATCCAGTCTGTTCGGATCATGTAAGAGCGGGATACAGCTGCGGAAGGGGTGCGTCAGAGCCGGATCCAGCTGCGCGCCCTTTGCGCGCTGTTTCTCTTCAGTTTGTCCTCCGCCGCAGCGGTTCCCGAAACCAGAAAAACAGCACGTAAAACCCAAACAAGCAGACGACCCGAACAAGAACAAACAATACATGGATTCAGACAAACTTTTGGATTGTCCACGGTTGATGCCGAAATCATAGTTATTGTTTATTGTGCTTGGCTTGTCTGTAGCAAGTCTTTTCTATAGTTTCAATGTCTCCAGCGTTTTAGGCTTGAAGGGCTGACAACGCTGAAACGCCCAGGCCCACATCGGGTTTGCCGGCCATCCCCCTCCTCCCCCTCCTCCTCATCATCATTATCCTTCTCCTCCTCCTCCTCCGCCTCCTCAAGCGCACCATGTTTACGCGTTCGTGCTCGGGGCTGCACGGAGCGGCTTGACAGCCTTCGTTCTCCCGACCAGCCTGATTGACGCGCTAGACGCAGTTACTGGGAAGTTTCTTCGAAGACTTGGCCGTCGGGAGAATGAGTTTGACTACCGACTCCGGAGAGACTCGATGCCACTCCACGGCCAGAGTATTTCAGGAATGGCGCATCGAACGGACTGCTACTGCTTTTAGGACGAGGCGACTGAAGTGGTACAACAACTGGGCTCTTTTTCCACTGGGCCACGGGGGAATATTAGCTGCTGTCTTTGGTAACTCGTTGCTGGACGAACGTCGGAGGGTTCAGAGGCTAAGAGCAAACAAATGGGTCTGGATATATTCTACTCCGTGGACAAAACAACTACGTGATGACATGGAGGCGTTGGCCCGGGTATCGGAAGAAATG